CTGCCTGGCCCAGCCCCTCAGCTTGAGAAAGCCCAAACCTAACCCTCTGCCACCAAGTCCCTTCAATAGAGCAGGCTGCCCCCTGGGGCTTCTGAAACCAAGTGGCACTTCTGACTGGTGGGGGTGGGCAGTGAAGTCGCCCAAGTCCACCCTGCCTATGATCTAGTCACATGAGGGAGACTGAGGGGGAGGGTCTCGGCGGCCATCGCACACACAGGATGGTGGCTGCGTGCCTGCCAGCTGAGCGCCAGCTCGGGCCCGCCCGGACAGCCGCACTGCTCGGGAACTGGAGGCAGCTCCGGGAACGTCCTTCAGGGACTCGGGAAGAGCCACTGCTCTTTGTGAAGAGTGACTAAAATACACGTAACCAACGTGGGGATTGGGGGCCGAATGAGCAACCAAACAGGATCCATGTTTCACCATTAAAGGACGCGGCCCTGCAGGCCCAGCTGGCACGTCTGCTCTCACTGCGTGCTGCCATGAACCTGCTGGCCCGAGGGAGCGGAGCGGGACTCGGACACACAGAGCAGGCCCCAGGCTGTGATAGGTGATACCTGGGGCCCCTGTGGCTTCAGGACACGCTTCAGCTTCAGAAATGCCACCCCCCTCGCCTGGACCACCTGCCCACCTGCTCCCTCACCACCCCACTGTCTCCCCCGACCCCAGGCCTACCAGTGGCCAGTTGGCTGAGAGCCAGGCTGCTCAGCACATAACTCCCTCACCTTAGACCAGGGAAACTGAGTCCCACAGGGGGATGGGGAGGTCGTTTCCTATCACACCTGGCCAGGTGCCCAAGCTCGCACATATGCACTCACATAGGTGCACACAAGCACCCGGGAGCATATGCATGCAGTATGCATATGCACACACCTGGACACATGCACATACATATGCATACCTGTATATATGCATGACCCGACACATATGCACTCACGCAAGGTGCACACTCACACACATGCACGTACCGTGCATACTTGTACATATGCATGCCCTGACACACGTACATGTACTCAGGAGCAGGCACACACACGCTCGAGCTCAGTCTGCACGTGGCAGCGATGAGCCCTGAGGAGGCCTCCCGAGCACTCTTCCCACGCAGTCCCTCTTGTGACCTTCTCAGCTGCTCCAGGAAGTGCCATTAATCTCGCCCTTGAAAGCAGAAGTGGCTGGCAAGGGCCGTGTGTGAGCCAGGAGCCTCTGGGACTGCTGGAGCTGAGTGTCAGCCAGGGCTGGTGGGGGCCCCGGCCTGCGCCATACCAGATGCCCTCTGCCCCACAGACCCCCTTTCCTCCCCTCCTGCCCCTTCTCTACTCTGCAGACCCTGGTTCACCCGTGCCCAGGCAGGTCCGCCCCTGGTGACACTTGGGCCTGAGGGGAAACAGCTTGGAACTGGGCACAAAGTCCAGTGCGGCCGCTGTGACAGCGGAAAAGGTAGGGGGTGGGGCATTCGGATGCTGACCTGAGCCAGGTCCTGGCTGTGTCTGAACAAGTAACATCAACTCTGAACCTCCGTGTCCTGACTGTCCTGACCCGGCCGCAAGGACTAGAGTCCAGCTGTGCAGTGGGCACCTCCCAGCCCTTCTTGACCCCGAGACCTCTGGCCCCCGGCCTTCACCTGAGTCAGGAGCCCCCCAGGCGAAGTCTACACCCTCCAGGCACCTTCTACTGGGCATGGCGGGGGGGGGGGTCACCACGAGTCCACCACTGAGTGGCCCTGCCACACCAACACTGGCCTCCCTCTACTTCTCATCCTCCTGAAGCTGCCCTGTACCTGGGGGAGAGGTCGGGGGAGGAGAGGATGGGAAGAGAGGAAGGGGGTACCCTATGAACCCCACCCCAGGGTCAGCAGGGCAGGAGAGAGCAGGCAGAGGAGTCTCCGTGCACCTGCACAGCTACGGTCACCTCGGGTTTTAGGCACAGCCTGGCCCGGACACTGACTGGGGGGTCTGCTCCCCTGGGGAGCAAGCAGAGAGCGGGGCATCTGCTCCCCAGGTGGGGGGGGCATGGAGAGGGGAGTCTGATCCCCTCTGCAAGGGAGGGGGTGCTGTGGCTGGTGGCCTTGCCTTTCCCTGCAGTGGCTATCCCAGGCAGTGGTGTCTCCCGCCCACGTGGCAGCATGAGGCTGGCCCGGCTGGGCTGAGGGCCCCCTTCCTGGAGGCACGGAGCTTTATGGGGCTGAGCACAAACCCACAATTATCCGGCGCACATCTGCAGAACCTGCTCAACTGGAAACAGGCCGAAGCTATTTCTAACTCTGCCGGCCGGTGGGCAGCCCCCTTCCTGCCAGGAATGGGGTTTGAGGAAGAAAACCTGAAGGCTGAAGTCTGCAGCAGTCAGGGCTGGGGGCTGGGGGCCCTTGGCATGGGGCCACGTCCAGTGGTCCAGGTCTCCAGGGGCTGCCCAGGTGTGCAGTCTGGGAAGCCCCCACGACCTCGGGCAGCAGTGGTGGTCCACAGGTGATGCTGCCTCCCCTTCTGCAAATGAGCTGAGACTGCTCAGAGACGCAGGCGGGGGGTGGGGAGTGGCAGCTGGAGGTGCGGTTTCCAAGCTGCACAGCACGACCCCGCACCCAAATTCTGCAGATACAAACGGACGCAGCCCCAGGGGTGACGAGGCCGGGAGTTCGTGGGGGTGAGGAGGGCGGTGGCCTGTCCCTTGAGAAGGATATCCTGGTAGAGGAGAGGGTCAGTGGAGAGAAGAAGACCCTCTATGAGGTGGGTGGACTTGGTGGCTGAAAGAGTTGACCCGAGTGAGGAGCACACGGCGGGTGGGGGTGCAGAAGGGCCGTGTCCAGCCACACCTGCTGAGTGCTGGCTGGGCCCGCGGAGAGGAGGCCTGGGGACCTGCCTATAGAGAGGACCGCATGCGGCAGCTCTAGGTCGAGGTGTGGTGGACACAAAGGCAGTGGCCTTGCTGGGCCCCTCCCCACCCCCCATGTCTCACCACCCAGTGCCTGCCATACCTGGGACCCTCTACTGCCGACCAGAGTGGGGGTGGACTCCGACTCACAGCGGCCCTCTAGGACCAGGCAGAGCTGCCCCGGGGGTTTCCGAGACTCCAGATCCTCACAGGAGCATACAGCATCCCATTCCTCCTGCCTCTGAGCGCCACGCCTCACTGATCAGGGTGCAGGAGCCGGGAGAGCAGGCCCCCCCAGTCCACACCCACACATGCTACCGACCGAGGGGGGAGAGCGCTCACGTCTGATGGGTGACTTTATTGTGAAAGAGCACTGACCCCCGGTTACCCAGAGGGGAAGTCCTGCATGTCTGTCTGGTGCTTCTTCATGCAACGCCTGTTATCTGCTGGCTCGCCCATCCACACCTGCACCACCCCCACTCCACCCCCACCCCGGGGTAGTCCTCAGCATCTCCTGGTTCCCGGCGAGACACACCCCTGGGCAGGGACGCCAAGCTGGTCCTGCTGATCGACTGATACTCAGAACAGGGACAAAGCTGCCCACACACACACACCCCGCCCCTGTTCCAGAGGCAGCCACACACCATGGCATGATGGGGACCACATCCAGCTGGGCACCGGAGGGCCAGGAGAGACGCTCCACCTGGCAGCACTTGCTGGCTGACACCTGCCCTGCCTGGGCCCGCCTGCTCACCTTGCCACTCTCTACACAGACAGACACACAGACCCCAGGGCCAGGCAGGCCCAGCCTGTGTGGGCGGATCAGCGCTATTCCCACCACACCCGTCCCCACCATGCCCCAGGAGCCCCTGATAAAGGGCAAGTGTGGGACCAGCAGACGGAAGCAGCCACCTCGACCCTCTGCCACGAGGACCCTGCCCAGGCCAACACTGAACTAGGGCATGACCAGCCCCCTCCGTCGGGGCGGCCCAGGGCACGCACCTTGAAGAGCAGGCAGTCGGCCTTGTGCTCGGCGTACATGGACGTCAGGCGGTACTGGCTCTCGGTGGTGATGTCGATCTGGTAGCCGGTGAGCGTGTAGCACGCCTTGCGGAACTCCTGGATCTTGGCCTGGAAGACTTCCTTCAGGCGCTGGTTCTTCAGCTCAGCGCTCTCCACCTGCTTCTTCAGCTCTGCGGGGAGACGGGGCTCAGGGACGCCCTGCCCACGTCCTCCCACCCCGCGGCCCTCGCTGGGACCACGCTCACAGCCAGCGGACATGGGACATGGAGGGGACATGGGAGCTGGAGCTGGACCCTGTCCTGGGATGGGCCCCCCTCTGCCCTCAGGCCTGTCCACCGGAGGGAAGCCGCTGGCTGGGAGCTAGTTGGGGAGGGGTGTGTGAGGTGGTGGTAGTCACATCTGAGGTTCTGCCTGCTGGTGCAGGAAGGCCCCTGGCAGAAGGGAGAGGTGGGCAAACCAACTGTGACTGGGCCCTGGAAGGGGCTGGGCTCAAATGTCGCCACCTTTTCTTGACCCCGAGACCTCTGGCCCCCGGCCTTCACCTGAGTCAGGAGCCCCCCAGGCCTCCAGAGACCTGAGTCAGACTGCAGCCGGGGCACTTCGTAACCTGGAGGGTGGTGGAGCCCCACCCATGGACACTGTGGAGGGCAGGGGACACTGTCCTCTGTCCACCACCTGGGGGCTGTCGGTGTGAGTACCCTGCCCAATGTGGAGGTACATGTCTGCACATCACAGGTCTAGTAGGGCAGGAACCCCAACACCAGATCAGACAGACCTGCTGCTCTGACCCCAATGCCTCCCCGCGCACAGGAGCCACCGACAGGAGACTCCCTGACCACCTGCCTCTATCTCTCAGTGTTGGAAACAACCCCGGTCACACGTGGGCCAGCCCTGGAGCTGAGTCACGGGCTCCGGGTGGAGGTGGCCGGACTCACACACAGACACCCTCTGATGGCATCTCAGGGAGCACTCCTGCTGCCCGCGTGCATGCATGTCCCTCATCTTGTGGGACACAGCTCCCAGGCTCAGCACCCTGACTGCGGGAAGTGAGGTGAGGGCCAGCCCAAGGAAGGCCTTGTGGGGACCAGGCCACCACAGCCCATGCTGCCCCCGCTCCTGTCGCTCCCTGCTTACATAAGCGGGTGAATAATTCACGGGGAGGTTGGATTAAATAAATAAAAGATGTCTCTTGCCTTGGAAATGTCACTGCTTCCTGTTGCTACACTTGTGTGCCCGAGGCCCCCACCAGTGAGAGGAGGGGCTGTGGGTGTGTGAGGGGGGAGGGCACCGCCTTTAGGCTGCACTCGGAGGCCCAGAGACCCTGTGCCCATCTAGCCTGAGACTGGGGGGCTGGGGGGGCCCTGCCCTAGGCAGCCTGGGTCCCTGGAGCTGGGTGGACAGCACAAACACCCAGGCACTGCCCAGCCTGGGAGACAGCCCTAGAGGGTTGGGGCCTACCGTCCTCAGATCCCTGTGCTGCTGAGTTCTGGGAGCAGAAGACAGCCCCCCAGCCCCCCACCAGGCCGGCTGACTCCCATAGATCAGCACCTTGGACAGCTCCCAGGAGGCCAGGCTGCCTGGCCCAGCCCCTCAGCTTGAGAAAGCCCAAACCTAACCCTCTGCCACCAAGTCCCTTCAATAGAGCAGGCTGCCCCCTGGGGCTTCTGAAACCAAGTGGCACTTCTGACTGGTGGGGGTGGGCAGTGAAGTCGCCCAAGTCCACCCTGCCTATGATCTAGTCACATGAGGGAGACTGAGGGGGAGGGTCTCGGCGGCCATCGCACACACAGGATGGTGGCTGCGTGCCTGCCAGCTGAGCGCCAGCTCGGGCCCGCCCGGACAGCCGCACTGCTCGGGAACTGGAGGCAGCTCCGGGAACGTCCTTCAGGGACTCGGGAAGAGCCACTGCTCTTTGTGAAGAGTGACTAAAATACACGTAACCAACGTGGGGATTGGGGGCCGAATGAGCAACCAAACAGGATCCATGTTTCACCATTAAAGGACGCGGCCCTGCAGGCCCAGCTGGCACGTCTGCTCTCACTGCGTGCTGCCATGAACCTGCTGGCCCGAGGGAGCGGAGCGGGACTCGGACACACAGAGCAGGCCCCAGGCTGTGATAGGTGATACCTGGGGCCCCTGTGGCTTCAGGACACGCTTCAGCTTCAGAAATGCCACCCCCCTCGCCTGGACCACCTGCCCACCTGCTCCCTCACCACCCCACTGTCTCCCCCGACCCCAGGCCTACCAGTGGCCAGTTGGCTGAGAGCCAGGCTGCTCAGCACATAACTCCCTCACCTTAGACCAGGGAAACTGAGTCCCACAGGGGGATGGGGAGGTCGTTTCCTATCACACCTGGCCAGGTGCCCAAGCTCGCACATATGCACTCACATAGGTGCACACAAGCACCCGGGAGCATATGCATGCAGTATGCATATGCACACACCTGGACACATGCACATACATATGCATACCTGTATATATGCATGACCCGACACATATGCACTCACGCAAGGTGCACACTCACACACATGCACGTACCGTGCATACTTGTACATATGCATGCCCTGACACACGTACATGTACTCAGGAGCAGGCACACACACGCTCGAGCTCAGTCTGCACGTGGCAGCGATGAGCCCTGAGGAGGCCTCCCGAGCACTCTTCCCACGCAGTCCCTCTTGTGACCTTCTCAGCTGCTCCAGGAAGTGCCATTAATCTCGCCCTTGAAAGCAGAAGTGGCTGGCAAGGGCCGTGTGTGAGCCAGGAGCCTCTGGGACTGCTGGAGCTGAGTGTCAGCCAGGGCTGGTGGGGGCCCCGGCCTGCGCCATACCAGATGCCCTCTGCCCCACAGACCCCCTTTCCTCCCCTCCTGCCCCTTCTCTACTCTGCAGACCCTGGTTCACCCGTGCCCAGGCAGGTCCGCCCCTGGTGACACTTGGGCCTGAGGGGAAACAGCTTGGAACTGGGCACAAAGTCCAGTGCGGCCGCTGTGACAGCGGAAAAGGTAGGGGGTGGGGCATTCGGATGCTGACCTGAGCCAGGTCCTGGCTGTGTCTGAACAAGTAACATCAACTCTGAACCTCCGTGTCCTGACTGTCCTGACCCGGCCGCAAGGACTAGAGTCCAGCTGTGCAGTGGGCACCTCCCAGCCCCTAGGCTCACATGCACAGCGGCCTGAAGGCCATCTTGGAGGACAGGCCTGGGGACCTGCTTCTGGGAGGTCACAGCCTTGCAAACCCTGGTTTCCAGGAACAGGACCCTCGGGAATCTTCCCCAGGTCGAGGAAGGTTTCAGCACAGGGCTGCGCCCCAGGGACATGCTCCGCTCTGCTCCCAGCTCTGCCTGGGTGGGACTGAGGGTCCCTGCCAAGATGCCACCCAATCCTACAGAGGGCACCCAGCTCGTGAGCATCACTGCTCCCAATCCTGCCTCATTCACACTGCGAGGGTTCCCACACATGGGGCGGGGGGTGGGGGGTGGGGGGGTTTGCATCAGACTGAGACGTGCCCTGGGAAGGTGACGCAGACGTCTGGAGATGCGGCTGTGTGACGCACAGAAAGGAATGTGAAGGGGAGCGGTGACAGCCCTGGGAAGCGGGGTGTGGCCTGGATTCAGGGCTCCTGAGGTTTAGGGTGCTCACCCTCAATGGGCGCCTAGCAGGGCCTCTCAGGGGCAGGTCTCAGCATGGCCCCGCTGGGGTGGGGTGGAGGTTCTCAGCCCTTGGGGCGGAGCGCAGGGATTCCGAGAGAAGAGTGGGCCTGAGTCTCTCGGGGCTTCTGGGACCAGGATGACCCCTCCCAGTCTGTCTCCGATGGTCAGGCCTGACCCGGAGCGGGGCTCCACCTGGCCTAGGGCCCCAAGGAGCTGCTTGTTTCTTCCCCATCCTATTGTGCCCCTCACTTCCCTCATGAACCCTAGAGCCCCGTCTCGCTCTCCTCTGTGGCTCTTCTCCCACGGGTGTGTGTGTGTGTGTGTGTGTGTGTGTGTGTGTGTGTGTGTATCCTCTGGGAGTTCCCTGAGACTCTTCAAAGCTCTCAGATCTGAAATAGGGAGCCCTGGTGGCACAGTGGTGAAGTGCTCTGCTGCTAACTGGAATTTCACACCCACACAGACACTCTGTGGGAAGATGTGCTCTGTGGGAGCCTGGTGATCTGGCCCTGGCAGGACGGTGGCCTGGCAGACCTCGGGTTACTACCTCTGCTGTCACACGGTGGCAACCATGAGCCAGAGTGGACGATGGCACTCAGCCACCATGGGGCTGCAGTGCCTGCCCTCTGTCTCATGCGGCCTGGCCACTCCGGTGGGGACAGGATTCCTGGTGAGAGGAAAGGCTCCCTCTGGCGTCCAGGCCGTTCCACTGCCCGGGCTCTGGAGGCTGCTGCCCCTGCCTGCAAGGCTGCATCTGTGTGCGCCTGCTCTTGTCTCTGTGTTGGTGGGGACGTCCCCTCTGCTGCCCGTGTGTTGATGTTCCCCATGAGAGCTCCTCCACAGGGTGCTCTCAGGGGTTCATCCACTGGGTGCGAGGAGAGCTGGGTACTGAGGGCTGAGGGATAGGGCCTGTCACCCGTGACTCTGCTGGCCTCAAGGGTCTGCAGCTCTCTCGACCTCTCTTTTGAGACTGGACCAACAGGTTTGCTGCATGGTGGGCGGGCACCTGCCTAGAGGTGGGGCAAGGAACAGCTTGGGTTCTCAGCACGCAGGACACAGGTGCTGCGGACCTGTGTGCTTCCCCAGACTGCTGGCATGTTGTGGTGGACACAGCAGAGACCTAGCCCCGCACCTCACTCCCAGATTCCTGGAAGCCTAGCCTGGGATTTCTCACATGTGTCTGTCTGTCTGCATCCACTCAGCTGCTCTCCTTCTCCCACAGAGCCTTGGTGACTCCCTGGTTAAAGCACCCAGCTGCTGACCAAAGGCCAACAGTTCGCAGCCACCGGTCACCCTGGGAGAGGAATTCCCCTGGTGGCGCAGAGGCGAAGTGCTCAGTGGAAAATCTCCCCCCACACCCACACCTACCCACCCATCCCCAAACACAGACACACACACCCCACTACACACACCCATACACACACACACACACACACACACACACACAACTGCTCTGCAGGAGCCATGAGCTGTCAGTCAGGGCTGTGAGGGTGCGCCCAGGGGAAGCCATGGGCAGCCTGTT